TCTCAGTATCCAGACCAACTCTACATTTGTTTCAACGTTTGTTTCTTAACCAGTTTTGGAAACTTGTTGCCGCATGGTTATTTAACCGGCGCCTAACTTGTACTGGTCAGCTGGTCAGCATACACATGGTCAGCTGCGCCCATGACGTCAGACTTGGCGGGCCAATCAGCGGTCGCCGCCAGCCGTTAGCGGGCCACGGCGCGGCGGTTTCGAACCAGCAGTTGTCGCGCGGCCGCCGTGCAGCCTGGAGCAGCGACGAGGGCTGTTCCAGCATTTGTGCAGTAAAAAGTGAAATCTGTGAACTGTGGTGTTCGTGCTGTGAGTGAGGCCCCCTCTGGCCTGCGGGACGCACTAATCGTGCCTATACCCGCGGTCGAGACGCCTCCATTCCCCTGCGCGCGCAATGTAAGTGGACCAGACCTGTGCATGCACATGTGAGCAGATGTTTTGCGGTCGGTGTTTTTTATATATAAATACATTTATTTGCCTTTAATTCAACTCTTTGTATTTTTAACTTAACTGATGGACATATATGGGCTGTAAAAGCTAATCTGGTTGGCGATAATGATTTATTCGAATTATCTGCGTGATCGTGCAACTGCCATGATTGTTATGCTTAATGTTAACCCGCGCCCCACTGGGGGGGGGCTATTTATAGCCCCCCCTCCCGTTTTTCTGCAATAACTTCCAAACCGCTTGACGGATCGACGCCAAACTTTCAGTACCTTCGGCTGCATCAATTTGACACCTTGTGTCAAAATTTGAACTTCGTAGCTACCATAGGTCGGCCGGAAATGACGTCAGAGTGACGTCATGTTCGTCCGATTTCGACGCAAAACATTGAACCACGGCAATCGCTCCCAAGAGCTCAGTTTTTAAGCTAGATCCAATTTCTTTGCATGAAAGGACTCAAAATCGATTGCGCTATCAAACTGCTATCTCGGATTTTCAAAATTTTGAAAATTTTGAAAATTTTATATAATAATATTCAAAAATCATATTTTTATATTTTTTTCAAAAAGTTTTTGACTTTTCGAAAAAACCGGAATATATGTGACAGAACGCATGATTATGACTAACTCTAGCAAGTTTTAGCTAAATATCTTCAAAAATGGCCAAGTTATACGCATTATTGCAAAAAATTCACAATTATCAATTTTTCAAATCAATTTTTCAGTACGTATTTGACATCGTACACCAATATAAATGGCACTATCGTGTTCCTGAGCTCAAACTGCATCCTATAGACACCTTTTTTGTTGAAAAATTTTAACTTCAAAATTTGACCTTTTTTGACCTGAAAGTGACCTGACCTAAGCTAAATTCGACCCAAAATGACCTCGAATGACACAGACGACATCAAATTCGAAATCTATGGCCTAAATGGACCATAAAACATGTGTCACGTGACCGACGCATGATATAATATTTTCGTGACCTGTGATGACCTGACCCTGACCTGAAAATCAAGGTACAAGTTTGGTACCCTCAAGGTATCTAGAGCATCTGTTCACGAGTGTGGAAACCAAAAATGAGCCTGATCTGACTTGTAAGACGGCGGCCAGAGCCCAAAATGTGAACAAGCCAAAGTGCTAATAATTTTTACTTTGACCTGACCTGTGACGTCATCGGTGACCTCGAGGTCAATGAAATTAGGTTTCGCTCGACAGTTTTTCTGGGGCTATCAGACGCCGTTTGAATTTTGACGATCGGCCCAGTAGTTTCGGAGTTAGGAGGGGGGGCTATGAATAGCCCCCCCCCAGTAGGGCGTGTTATACACAGACCCCAGTGGGGCGCGGGTTAAGGAAATATTCGTCATACGGGCATGTTATACTTCTGGCTTGATGCGGTGCACAAAACCATGTTCTTCCACATTCGCAGCAGTTCTTGCTTCAAATACTTATATGCTGACGGTGCACGATAGGTATACCTACTGGGTATACCTACCTCATGCATTTACCACATCCATTCGGAAATATGCACTCGGAATTGTCTCCAGTCAATAGTATTAATTACGTGACCGTAATAAATACTAATGATTCCAGAAACTTCCGAATGGATGTGGTGTATGCATTCATTGATTATATAACCCATCAGTATTTCGTTTCTTGTCAGCGCAAGCCTTTGAGCATGAGCAATAACTGATGCCAGTCATGGTTTTGTGCACCACTTCCAGCCAAAAAATAACCTGTCCGTATAGAAAATATTTCCTGAATCAGTATCGTGGCAATTGAAAACGAACGCGAATCGTAAGTTCTTAAGGTTATCAAGTATCAACGCAAACAAAGCGATTGTAAGGAAGAGCAAGTTCGAACAGAGCGTTAGTGCACTTACTTGTTGACAATTTGTAAGCTAGCAATGCCCAGTCAAAGGCTAGGCTAGTTCATCAACAAACCAGGGATTGGTGAACCGACAAGGAAACGACTATGCCTATCCAGAAGTTGGTAGGTCCACGAGGCCCAGACTAGTACTCAACAAGGTGACGCCTATGCGAATTGGAACCAAACTTGTAGACAAACCGTTAGTTTGTTGGCCAACAAGCCTGGGGTTGGTGAATCGACAAGGTATCGACAAGGTGACGCCTATGCGAATTGGAACCAAACTTGTAGACAAACTGTTAGTTTGGTGGCCAACAAGCCTGGGGTTGGTGAATCGACAAGGTATCGACAAAGTGACGCCTATGCGAATTGGAACCAAACTTGTAACAAGGAGCCAACTTGTAGATTTGGTTTACAGTGTACCTGGCTTTCGTTGAGAGTGCCCTTCTTCATGTCGAGTACGCACTCGTGCACCTTCATCCCGTCCACACGGGAGATGTCTGGGAGGAAGTTGGGAAGCTTCTTCGGTGTCTTCTTGCGCTGCTGAACCTCGAGGTCGTCGCATGCTTTCCTCTTATTCTTGAACTTATTGATCAGTGACTCCTTCACAAGTTTCTGTAACATGCACACCATACCAATATTTTGTTAGTAAATATACCTACAAAAAGTTGCCAGCCATTAACGCTGTTGCGACGATCAATCACAGACAAAAAAAAAAAAAAAACGCAGGCACAAAGCCGTGACTACAATTATGTACATATATGTATCACTATCAATATCAGCTACAGAAATGACCTATCGGGAATTCAAATACTGAAAAGAATATTCAAATACGTTTCTCGAGTTCAAAGCACATATGCGAAATTCGACTGCAGTGGCCAGGGTCTGCCAGTGTCAGTCACGGTATGACAGCTGCTGTATGTGTTATGACAGGTCTGAAAGCGAGCTTACTCAGTACCTACATGCTTGGCCCGGCACCAAGCCAGACTTGGTGTCATATTCCATAGATGATATTTGAGTTTATTGCTGGGCTTACAGATCTACTGGGTTGATAGTGGTGGGGGGAGGGGGCAGGCCTGGCTTGATATTTTAAGGGGATCTCAACATCTTTTGTCAATTGACTTCGGCTTGTACTCGTTCATTATACAGCAAGCAAATGAACAGAACAAACAACGGAAATAAAAGAATCAGTAGATCATTACATGTCGGTGGCTAATATATTTGCTCAGTTCGCGCACTGGACAATGGAATCGGCGACAGGAGCGTGTAACATTGGAGATTGGTGGGGACGTTGACTATGGTGAACAGTGATAACACTGAGTTGACGATGAGAGAAAGACATTTTATCACATGATTTCCAGAACTCACCAGCCGGTCCGACAGCCGCAGTCCTTTCCCGAACCCAGGGAATTGTTCTGCGACGTCAGCTGCGATAGCGTCTACGTTGTTCAGGTACCTGTTACAGAAAATCATATCAGCGAATGCATTCCGACACAATGAATGGCACAGTGAATTCAGCGTCATGTCTCATAAAACGTACAGTTTAGAATAGAGATGCAAAATGAGAGTAAGTACAGGCACCGCGTTGTGAAAAATTTCAGGCACGGCGTGCCTGAAGCGATGTCTGGCCGCGGAAAGTGTTGGGCTCAAGCTGGTCTAAGCAAGTAAACAACTTCATGAAAGTCGCTTGCGATGAAGCAAATGTATCAGACTTCGTGCCTCTTTCACACTCTTCTGCATCGAAACAATTAGGCACATCCCCTTAACCTTCTACAATGGCTCACCATTAGTGGTCCTATGTTCCCCCCAAATTGAAATGTCTAGCTCATAAGGGATGCACGATTTCCACATGGTAGCATAATGTGCAATGTGCATGCACATTTTTAGGCTCATTGAAATACATTTAGGGGTCGCAGAAAACATGCAACATCCCTGGGATATTAAGTAAAAAGGCATTTACGATGGGTATATCACTGCTTGTAGCCCCACGTACAACTTTCGTAAATAACTTTTCTAGGCTTTTCCAATACAATAGCAGGTTCATGAAATGCCAAGGAGACTAGCTGCCAGGATGCTTCGTTGCTCTTTTGTTTGTTTGTTGGGAAGCAGCGGGACGGTTGCCCCATTCCGGCAGTCCATCCAATGACTGAGGTACGAGTTTACTGTTAAAAACTATGTTGGGCTTCACAGATTATCGTTTTCATACCTGCTGCGACACGTCTTCGTGTACTGTTCATACACAGCAGCCATTATGTCTCTTCGCTCTCCTTTGCTGTGGTCACCGCCGTTTTCCATAGTCTCGCGGACGGATGGTGGAAGCGCTTTCGTGTCCAGGACGAACACCTGCCGGCTAAGAAACAATTACGTCATATACCAATGGCAAGCCACAGCAAATGGTGGGTGAAGGCTGGCGGGTGAATAGGGGGGGGGGGGTATCACTTTATACAGGAAATCTGTCACCATGTTTATTGGATTGGATATTTATAGTGTTGCAACCCAAGAACACGAATTAATATTGCATTACAAACGATACAAATCAAAAGAGTAATGCACCTGTCTTCTTGTTTTCAAATTGTACTCTTAGTCTCTTAGAGCATGAGTATGAACAATATTGAAAGAAGTCGGCTTCCCAATTGTTGTTTCCATGTTACAGCACATACCAGATGATTAGCACATATATACCTCGCACTGGTCCCGGCGTCCTTGCTGGACTCGTTGTCACTGGTCCCGCCGTCGGTGAGAGCAAGCGGGTCCTGTGCCGTTTCGCCGACGGCAGAACTCACAGAGGAAGAGCATGGCACCAAAAGGTCACTGAAAGAAACGAATAGCAATGTTGAATCTTCAATTCATGGCTATGGAAGTATACCGACTTTGTAGCAGTGGCACACCGGGGACGGTATGGTGTTTGTAATGTAATGATACCATTAATTAAATAATATAGTCATTAATTAAACAATATAACAGACAACGAAAAAACTCTCAGAAGAGAATTTCAGCCTGTCGCCAAAATGTGTGTGATAATTAGAGATACACAAAGTCCCCATACCAAAGCCCCGCACCGGCTCCGCCCCCGCTCAGACCTTGGTGTGACCCGACCACGACCCGTAACGGTGACAGTCAGGCCTGTGCACCACCAAGGCCCTGCCACCCGGCGTCTAACAGTGTGACCACATGGGCAGGGAGCCCGACACAGCCCGGCAAACACTTCATGCGAGACCCACTCTGCCCCGCCGGGCCTAAGTCCATGCCCCGCGCCAGGCCTGCGGGCTTCAACTTTGCAACTCTAGTGATAATTAACATTTCCGGATGGTAATGAAAGACAAAGGTAAATCAAAAAGGAAAATGAATATGTTAGTAGGGTCGTACAAAGGACTTACTCGATCACTGCTGAATCCTTGGAACAGGAGGGAGTTCCCAAGGCGCCAGGAGAAGCTGTCATCGTCAGGACGGGGATGGTGTCGGCCGTGCTGAGACATCTTTGGATGAATGACACTGGTGGGCTGGAGACTTGGACGGGGACAAGGCGAATCCGTCCGCCACATGGTAGGTCGTCTACTGGGTTATCGATGCGAACATACAATTCGGACTCCTTGTGGTAAAGCTCTAAGCAATAACTGCCAGACAGAGAAAACGCCTCTTTTGCGGCCGCCAAAACATCACCCTTATTCTTCACAGTCACAAGTCGGTTGATGTCGTGTTGCTGCACCACGTAGGTCAGCATGGCGATCGTGGTCCTGTAAATATTCGAATTACACATTTAGCCACAAAGTCTGTCGCGGCCAGGGTTGGGCTGGAAGCCGTGCCGAAGCCAGGACGGTAATAGGAAGCCAAAACCGAAGCCGAAACCAATGGCTTCCAAAATTATAATTTGGAAGCAAAAACCGAGGCCAGTGACATTCAGACCTGAAACGTGGGAAGCCGAAACCACAGGCTAGACTTCGAAGCCGTCTAGCTTCGGCACAGAAGGAGCACACTTCTAGCACACTGCGGCAAGGAGCCAAACACGGAGCCGGGATAAAACTAACTGCATCCACGACGCATGACTTGGAAAGACAAAGTCTGAGTGAAAAGTGAAATAACCGAAAAGAGTTAAAATCACAACGAACTTTGCGCACGCGTTTTATCAAAAAGCGGACTAAATTAGGTTTCCGTGTCTGGCTTCTGCATATTCGCGGAGGCCAGACACGGAACTCGAGGCCGAAGTCAAGGCCGAAGCCAGTAGCTTTTGAATGCTAGGAAGCTGAAGCCGGTCTGCCAGCCACCTTTTTCACGAACAACCCGGCTTCCGAAACCCGAACCCGAAACCGGCTTCCAACCTAATCCTGGTCGCGGCACACTGCGGCAGTACCTACATAGGTCCAAGTGCGCGATAAGGATATCTTTTCCCGGCATGTGACTGTAAGACCGAGCGACGAAGGAGCGAGGTCAATAGGTAAACATATCCTTACATCCGGGAAACATATCCTTACCCTGCACAAGTAGACTTGCAGAACCATAAATATTTCAATTTGGAGGTTGATTGAAGCTCCATTTGAATTTGAATGAATGAATGGTACAAAAATAGATAATATTTGTTTCGGTCTATACCAATTTCGTTGGCACAATTCATCCTTGATCTTTGCCTAAACGCATGCGACACGCAAAGACAGAGATATCTGCTTTGACAAGCACTGACAATGATAAATCAACCTGTAATGGAAAGGCAAACGGATATTTTCAAATTCCACGTGTCCATATATAGGTAAAGTACATTTTCATACGGCATCATGCAGTAAGCGCAGTTATCAACCACTGGTCATAATTTGGAGTAAATATAATATTTAAAAAATGAGTCGCCCGTAAAGTCGTCTTATCCCTGACGACAGGGTTACCAATACATAATGGCATCAGAGTTGGTCTAATATCGTTTACAACACGCTCGTTCTCTAACTCATATTTTGGCAAAAACAGCGGATTTGAGCTACGACTTTGACTTTGCATCCCTGATTTACCGCATTTTGCGGTCGTATCCCGCGCAAGTGCACGTTGCAAAATGCAAGCATAATCACTGAAAGTGGATGCTCCCAATGTAAAGATATAAATGTTCATCACACTTACCTATCGTTCTACAGCATCCCGTAGCCGGGTATCAGCCTCCGAGGAACGGCATAGTGGTGGTCATTGATCCAGTACGTGCCGAGGGGCTGGGGATCAACGAGACTCGCACAGTCGAATACATCATATTGATCTGTTCCAGAAATGATAAAAGCTCCCAAGGATGTGTCATAAATGGCCACCTGGTGCTGCACCAGGAATTGTTTGTCCGACTCAACGCTGCTTGGATGTTTGCAAATGCAGATAATCACAGCGACACCAGTGTGCAGCAGCAGAGCTTCACCCGCGCAGTACTTCTCGCCGTTTATTAGCGCCTTTTTGAAAAGCTGTGCCCCTCTCGTCAATGCAGCAGCCGCTTCCGGAACCTCTCCCCTGAAAGCTTGCCCGCCGCTCATACGACCGCGTAGTTCCATTGCATCTGCGACACTCTTCAGCTGATAACGAGTTGCGATGCTCTTGCATATATTTTTACGATTGCGCGAGTTTGCCACAGACCGCTTCAAGGTTTGATGTTTGGCTTCGTATCTCATGCTCCATAGATACCTCAATGGGCCATGTCTCCTCGTTTGATCGGCATAGTGTAAGAGGAAATGATGCTTCGGCGTCAGTTTGAACTCCGGAAAGCATGCGAGAAGGTCTGTCAAAAACTTTTCCACCATCCCTTGCAGGATATCCAAGTCTTGCAGTGACACCGTGAAGACAGTGAGTAGGAGCATGATTTTGATTAACTGCACGAGCAGGGAGTACATCTTGCTCCCAGACACAGCCGATGAGAGAACACCTGCACTCAGGAGAATCAATGGCAAAAGCCTCAGAAGACACCAAGCCTCACTCGCCTGCTGCTTCACAGTTATACCCTTTCCATCACGGCGTAACGGGGCGGGATGATTTGTGTCCACCTGACTGTATGGGAATGACCTGATAGCTCTGTTCACATCGTTCAGAGACAAATCACCGCGAGAGCTCAAACCACCGCACACCAGAGCAATGGTGGACGGCACAACGCCCTCTAGAAGATCATGCATCACATCAGGGGGTATCGACGTCATCGGGTGAAAGCCCGTCAATGAGCTGAACGGACACGTGCTTCGGATGCCGTACGCTTTCGAGAGTGATTCACCGAAACCTTCTTCAAGCAAAAGCTTCACTTTGGAGTCATAATCTTCTTTGGAACGGAGGTCAAACTCTTCCAGCTTCGTCTTTGTTCGTATCTCATCTGCCGTTCCATGACAGTGTCGGCAAATCATTGCACCCCCACTGAAGCACTGTGAAAAGCCCGCCACACTGTGTACGCCCAGATTGTCACCGATCAACACTGCAACGTGTGCAGTAAAATGCGAGCCACCACGAATGTTTGCCACAAAACCGCTTGATTCAAGCTCTTTAAGTTCGGTGATGAGTGGGTCGAGCAGTGTTGCCCATGAATGTGTTGCCAGCAGTGCCTCTCGAAAGACTACCGAAAGGATGATTTTGTTGCGAAGTGCGCTGTTCTTAAGACTGTTCACTGAAAAATAAACAACGCCCACTTTCTGGTTCTTTGCTCTGCTGCCCAAGGGGTTGCCTACTTGAAAACTGTCATAGTAGACTGAAAGAAGCAAACGACCTTCGCTGTTATTATTGTTATGGACGTATCCATCCTGAAGGCCACCAAGTATCCCATCTGGTGATGCAGTTGCATCTTCGCAAGCATTCACTTGCTCGCAGAGTTGTTTAAGCTGAGGTGTAACTGGCAAGTATTGGAGCGTTTCATCTTTCCCATGTTCGTCTGTGCCCAATGTCACAGATACAGGATCAACCGTTTCAAACTCCTTGACAGCTGTGCGTTCTAGGTGGTCGCTACCCTGTAACTTGCTCAGCTCATTCAGAGTCTTGAGTTTATGATAATATTCTTCAAGATGGCAGCATGGTGCCTCCCCACATAAGCTCAGACACTCTTGGATGACTTCTTTCGAAAAGTCCTCAATGAACTCCAGCACAGCATGGCAGCTATTTTCGGTCACATTTTGGGCGCGGAGTTTGATTATGAGTCCTAACAGTTGTTTTCTCACATCGTGAGCACCAGGGTCGTCTTCAACCTTGTCACCAGAGTCAGAATCAATCTCGACACCAGTTTCTTGTTGATTTTGAGACGAAGATGTCTCTGGAGCATTTGAAGCACAACCAGCAGCTTCAACCGGAGAACACTTTCTAGACAAAACATGATCTTTCCAATACCGAACAGTGGTGAACTTCTTGCGACACATCGGGCAATCCACGTGAAAATAAGGGTCTGATCCATGTCGTCGCAAATGCAGGCAAAACTCTCTCAAGTCTGTGTCAGTGTGGTGACACAAAGAACATGATAGCTTCACATTCATCTGAAACCAATAAGTGCAAAAACATTCTGAGCCAATTGTAAATTCGCCTAACCAAGCATACAGAATTAGCAACACCAAGGAAAGGATCATTAAACGAAGGAAATGAATTTCGTTCGTTATGATCCTTTCGATCATAAGGGCACAACCCCAAATAATATTCAATAAAATATGAACTACGGGGTCTTCTGCCTACAGTCATGTGGGCAAACGCACCAGTGATGTCATTTATAGAATTTAGTGAAAATGGTACCAGTCACCACTCAAACCCAGGGCGGTGACCCCACGGCGAAACAGCTTCAGCGCCAGTACCATGAACAGCTGGAACGCTTTACCTGCCGAAGTTGTGTCCGCTGACTCGCTCGACATTCTAGGCGCGACTTGACCGCCATTGGAGGAACCTGATATTTAACATACCACAGACCTAGAGCCCTGATTGTTCATTGTCCTTGAGCATTCTGTCATTGTCAACATTTGGACAGTCCTTGAACTGTCCAAATATTCCTCAAATTTTGATGTATTACAAAGTGAATAGTTGTTGCTACAAACAACCAAAAATCTAGTGATATAAATTATTCCCCGCTTCATTTATAGCTTGGTTTGTGAAAAATTTATGTTTGAAGTTGTGAGCAGACTTGTGCCAAGATCCCAAAAAGATCCGAGATCCAGGATCCGCTGGATCCAAGATTTGGGATCTTGGTGGTTCCTGGATCCAGAATTTCAGATTTTGTCGAGGGATCCTGGGGATCTTGGATCCAGCATTTCAGATTTTGTTGAGGGATCCTGGGGATCTTGGATCCAGCACTTCAGATTTGTCAAGGGATCCTGGAGATTCTAGATCCTGCAGTCTGCACTTCAGATTTTGTCGAGGGATCCTGAATCCTGAATTTTCAATTTGTCGAGGGATCCTGGGGATCTTGGATCCTGCATTTTCAATTTGGCGAGGGATCCTGGGGATCTTGGATCCTGCATTTTCAATTTGTCGAGGGATCTTGTGGATCTTGGGTCCTGAATCAACCTTAATTTGTTTGGAGGGTTTGCATTATGACTCCTCAGTTGAAGGTTTAGGTGATATTTGGCATTGGATGCTATATTCTAAGTTGCAATTGGATGTTAGATTATGTGCATACACCCTCACATGTACCTTGATGGTACATGTTGTTACTTCAGTGTTAACTACTTACTGCCAAGCACTTAGTAGTGAGTATACTGAATGAAGTGTCAGCAGTACCATCCAAATATTGAGATAGTATTATTGAGAGTGAGTGACTGAGTTCTAACTCATGAGGTTGGTTGTGGGATTGATAACCAATAGCCTGGCACTGGCTACCTACTGAATATGTTATGACTGAATGATCATGAATGATTTAAGATCTATTTTGCTTTGCAAATAGCAATAAGAGAAGCCACAATGTAGGAAATATCATAAGCAAGGACTGTTCATCTTGTTGTTCTGATGATCATGGATGCTACATTTTACTAGGATCATTGTTCATTATGTCATTTGGCTATTATGCTCAATGAACCTAAAATTTACTCTGGTTTTTATCATTAGGCTTGGGCCTCAGATTCAACTTTTGATCTACCATATGAGCATATGACATTACACTTGAACAATTAACAATTAAGAACTCACTCAGATGACAAGTCCTCAGATCTAGAGTTCTCAAAGGCCATAGTTTACTCACAAGTCATAGCTGAACTAACCTCTGTGATTCTATGAAGTGTTGACTGACGAAAGACTGATGAAGAACTTTCATGCTAAGTATAATGTTTCAATTTTCCAACAAAATATTTTCTCGAAAAAATAGCATTCTGCCCAAAACCCCAAAAAAGTTAATGTATGCCTCTCACATGGCAGCCCTGTGACCATGAGAAGTCCTGTGATCATGGACGAAGGTATTTCTTTATCAAGGCAATGCATAATTTCGTCGATCGTTAAACTGTAGATTAATGTTAAACTGTAGATTAATTTTAATCGTCGATTGACATTAAAATAGGCTTGGTCAAGTTGTATTACTAGTTATCAGTGATAACTAGCACGGGGTGATAACTTATCACCCCGTGCTCTGTTTGAGACTGGAATAAACCATCGGCGATTGGCGAAATATACTGATTCCACGGGTCAATAAATTCCTCCGTTCATGATCTTATTACCAAATTTACTTACCAAATTTTAGTCACAGCAAGGCAATAGAATACCAGCAAGGCAATAGAGTCACAGGGCTGACATTAGGGGCGTACGCGGCGCATCAACAGGAAGGTACTGGAAAGTATAAAGTGCAGGGAAAATTGCCACCCGAAAGTAAACATAGGCAAGGTCACCACCAGGGTATATTGAGAGACGGTCACCACCGCCGTGCACCAACCTCCGATTGTAAAATGTCAAGGCCATCTATAGCATAGGCTATGTATTATCACAAAGTCGAGGTGGGTATTAATATGACGTCACAGGTACAAGGGGTCTAACGCAAGGTGTGGTAGTCCGAAGAGATGGGTAATCCAACAGGCATACCAATCAGTACACGGTACTCCAATGACGTCCTTGATTTTAGTCTTATAAGTTTATGGCAAAGTATTATAAAGCAAATATTTTCTTTGCGTCCATGCCATTTTCGAGGAGTGACTTTTGTTTACAGTGCCAACATCACAGCTGCTGATTGAAGGTTATATACATCAGCTGAATTTAGCATGCAGCGATTGAATTATTGGCTCCAGTTTTGCTTTCAGAGATTAAAATCATTTAGTATTCAACAACAATAGATCTAGAAGCTTTTTGTTGTGTAATGACTAGCAAACTTCATTGCAGGTTTTGTCTGGAAGCGTGCCAGGTGAGGGAAAAAGGAAGGAACACCCTATATATGAAAAGCAACATATTGTTTAGCCTCATTAGGACCAAGGAAGACCATCCATTCCAATCCTTCATAGGACAGGCAGAGGCAGGTGCTGCGAGTCTGGCATTTTGGTGATTGTCAAATCATGTTCCTTTCCTTAAAATAGCTTCTGATTTTGTTGAGGCATAATATTAACAATGTGAGTTTAACTTTATGCCCACAGGCTTTTGGAGCCTGCTGCACAACCTGATTATGCTAGATTTAACTTGAATCGTATCAGCATAGACAGATACTTAACAAAACATGCCACAAGTAAACAGATGGTAATAAGGAACTGCCATAATAATTTCTGACCTGTCATGTAATAACAATTGACAAGGCCCACCACATCCAAACAGTTATCAGTTCAATGATAAAAAGGGAGACCAGAATAAATAGTCATGCTTCTTTACATCAATGATTGACTTCATCACCTCTAAGGCTAGTTTTTGTGCAAAATCCAAGGAATTTTGGTTCCTTAAGTTTTGACATACCAACATAGACATATACTTACCAAAACATTCCACAAGGAAACAGATGAAATAAGAAATGAGCCTAAGTCACCATCAATTTTTTAGCTGTCATGTAATGACAATGGACAGGGTCCACCACAACCAGACAGTTATCAGTTTGGTAATAAAAAAGTGGAGCAGGACAGATTCATGCTAGTCATCATCATTCATCTATGATTGATTTTATCACCTTCAAGGCTTGATTTTGTGCAAAATGCAAGGTATTTTGGTTTTTCTGAAGTCTTGATGTTGCGTGGGATCCAGGGGATCTTGGATCTTAAGGTTCTGACTTTGCGTGGGATCCAGAGGATCTTGGATCCTAAATTTTGTTTCGCGCAAGATCCAGGTATTCTGATTTTGCATGGGATCCAGGGGATCTTGGATCTTAAAATTTCCCATTTTGCGTGGGATCCAGGATATCTTGGATCCTGAAATTCTGATTTTGCATGGGATCCAGGGGATCTTGGATCCTAAAATTCTAGTTTTTGTGTGGAATCCAGGGGATCTTGGATCCTTAAATTCTGACTTTGCATGGGATCCAGGCCCCAGGGGGATCTTGGATCCTAAAATTCTGATTTTGTGTGGGATCCAGTGACCAGTGGATCTTGGATCCTGATTTTTGGCCCAGGCACAAGTCTGGTTGTGAGTAACAAACATTTTCACAGAAAATCTGCTTATTTCAGTTGCATTCATTTCAATTTTAGGTGCGTGAGTTATAAGTTCCTACTGTGTCTGTGAGTGAATCTTTCAACTTCCATGCCGGGTTCAAAGACTACTGTGTCTTTGAGTGAATATTTGAACTTTCATGCCAGGTTCAAAGACAGACGAATGTTTATTGCAAATTAATGCAAAGGCGTAGGAACGTTGGAGCTCTATATACTCTGGGAACTTCACGCCTGATGGCTATGCGCCTTAACCCACAAAGAAGAAGATGGGAACTTCACGAATAGCTACCTAGTGGACAGTCATCTGCTAGCTTTGGCGTTGACTACTAAAAAAAATTGATCTTTTTATCCGAGGTAGTGTACACTGAGACAGTGAGAAGCGTTTGTCACTGTCCGCCAACTCACAGCCCAGCCCAGTCGAGTCGAGTCTATAAACTGAGCCCAGTCCAGTCGGGGTTCGTTGAATATCACTATATATGTTGCCCCAAGCATACCCGTTTGAAACATTATGCTATTTCAGTTTTACTTGATATTCACTTAGCCGCTATTATTATGCATCTTACTGAACAGGGCCACCGGCCAAGACCATTGGGCTACTTTCGTGAACACAAATCATTACTCCCTTACATAGGCATAGGAACAGGGAGGGCAGAGCAGCAATGGCCCCTAACATTTAGGCCAAAAATTTCCTAAAATTTACATTTCTTCAAAACCAAATGCAGTGATTGATTCCTCAGGTTGAGATGAGTCCAAAAATGCAGAGAAAGTTGGTGTGCGTGTTGGGTGGGTGGGTTGAACTTGGGTTCACCTTAAAATAAGACCCAAAGTTTCGCTGAAACTGTTCGCCCCCCCCCCAACTTTTGTGATGTTCCTACGCCTCTGCTTCTTTATTTTTCAAATTGTTGATAAAAGACGTGCAGAGCATGCTTTTCAAAAATGGCCTTATCCATCTAGGAAAAATATTAACTGTGATTTCTTTATGCTAAGATTGTGTACAAAAACTTACATTGAAATCAAGGAGAAGGTAAATCACAAAAAAAACTTAATCATTCATTGTGAATAATTTATTGAAAGGCGAATATTTGGTTGGAGAGCAAAATTATTCAGCAGAAAATGGTCAAATTCCAAACACTGAAGACTTTGGATTTGAATAGCATGTATCACTTGCACTTCCATGTCCCCCTCAACCAGGTGCAAAATATCTTAAATGGGTGACAAGTTGTGGTAACACTGAAATACCTTGCACAAAAAATGAATGGTTGCCAGCAAGTAGCACAAGCATAAAATGTAGGTAGGTACGTACCTACCAAACATGTGCAAGTAACTGCAAGTAACTAACATAAGCTCAGTATTAGATAGCTGATAAAATGCATCCCACCCACACAAATAAATATTTCATCATAATCATATTGGTCCCATCACAATGCATGATTACTCACCGTCTTCAGATAAAAGCCGAGCACTGTAGCGTCAGCAGACGCAGCGGACCCAACACTCCCAAGGCACCGCGCGCGGTAATATGGCGACCGTTGTGCCCGACCGTTGGCGTTACTCGGCCGCAAATCTTCCACGTCAGGGTACTGTACCCGGCATCCAAGAGTACCCTAACATCCGGGAACATCCGGGACTTTTAGTCCCGCGGATGTTCGGCGGCGGGTACAGATAACGGGCCAGGCGGATACTTCCTGCAAATATGTGAGTGTATCCCGTGTCGGCGGGTAATGGTGACGCCCAATGCGTGTACTGTTCACTCTCCGATCGCGAGTCATTTCTTAACCCGCTTGTCGCTGATTACAACAACGCATTCGAAGGGTCTTTCATTGCAAAAAGCGGGTAGTATGAATAATAGTCGAGTGTTTTACCTGATACTTTCCCAACCCGCAAGTATCAACCCGGTTACAAAGAGTGAACACGTGTGGCACCACTCCTATGGCACGGATTCACCCACCAACGGCGAGTCGACTTGTTTTCAGTGCAGGCCGACAGGGCCGTGATTTTCCCGGCTGCCATCGAGCAGCGTTAGGCCTAAGGTGGTCTGTATGGACGGCAGCTCATATGCTAATTTCATTGCATATTTCATCAGCCTTCTTTGGCAATTTGTTTTCTGACTGGTTCACTTCCCTTTCCTCACTAGGAAAACGACGCTTCTAGCGTAATGCTACTCAAATCCCTACCATTTTAGTTATTGATTTTATCCATTTTTTACTAGAGCTTCTGCAAAAACGCTTATTTCAGCAGGTGTATTTTGTTCACTCAACAGCAATGTCTTAAAGGTCAATGTGACTTGTAATTATATGATGTATTTGATTGATCTTGTGCAAATAATAGTGCTGTAGAAGACAAGCACATTGCGTAAAATGTCACTTGGGTGTCCAATTCTTGGTGACAGAACCAACAGGACGCGTTCGACATCGACATCGTGACATCAGTGTGTCGGTGAGGCGGCTGTCACAACCGCCACTTCCTGCACATTGTTTCAAATGAAAACTGATGACCGTTCGAGAAAACATCCGACTTCTGGGGTCTGTCCATCGCCAGGCGTGACTTCGCCCTCAATGACCGCCAGCAAGTGAACTACAGAATACCTCAGAAGGGTTACAATCTGCATAGGTTGCCGCCGTATTTTGACGTCGAGTGTTTTCTCTGCGGGTCAGCCGATTACTACCACTCCAGGGGTTTGCGATCGGGACGGAGGGAGGTGCTCGTTAAACACACGGACCCTCTGGCGCTGCTGGGAGCCGTGTGGATACGGACAACCCTTTGTCAGACAGGCAGCCCTTCACTCGCATAGTTTCACACATATTAAACAGATCGTTTGTTTCGCTGAAGTGCCCCAGTCCACCCCAGTTGACCAGAGGTCTGAGCTGGCCCTCTCCCCATCCGTCGAATGACGGCGCCCGGCGCGAGCTATGATCGATGCACGCTCTAAAACACACACACAGTCGGCATTCCTCGCCGAGACCCATCACTATCAATATTCAATCGCGTCCCTCGGCGTGGAAAAACTAACTTATTTGCACCCGTCGGCGAAGGAGCACTGCGGGCGCGGCGCGGGCGCACCGGGGCGCCGCGGGGCGCCCTGAGAGGGCCGGCAGAAACAAAACACCGTGCCGACCCCGGCGCCCTTCGCCGCCGGAGGCTGACGGGGTAAACGCCTCGGAACCAACAACACACACACCGCCCTCCTCGTCGTCTCCGTGAGCGATCCGCTGTCTACGCGGCAGCTGCGACCGCCGTCTGTCGGCGGAGAGGGCGGTGTCGCGCGGAGAGGGCCGCGGTGTCGCGCTGACGGAGCGCCCGCCGCCGCCGTGCCGCCCCGAGTCGACGCCGGGGGCCGATCGTGGCCGGCGCGACGGCCGGCGATTATTCCGGCGAGGACGTGCCGCCGACACCGTCACGCCTGCAATGACATCGCTCCTTCTCTCGGGTCCGCTCCGCCGCCGGCAGCCACGCACCTGACTGGGCGCCGCTCCCGCCGGGCGCCCGTCTGCGCGCACCGCGGGCGCCGGCGCCCCGTGGCGCCCCGCGGCGCCCCGTGGCGCCGTGCAGGCCAACTGGTGACACGTGTGCCCGCGGCGCTCAGCGCAGAACGTGTGTGCAGAGCGCCGGCCGGCGCTCGTGTCGAGACACGCGCCGCGGGGGGCGCCTCCCCGACATCGCCTCTTGTCACGAGAGCAGGTGCTAATTGATTCACGACCCGTGTGTGTGTCGCCACGCCAAATTGGCGCTCTGCGTCGTCGCTCCAAATTGCTGCGCTGGTCAGCTAGTCGTGTCTGCCGACAGGGATGACGTACTGTTACAGGCACAAGTCGGGCCCGGTGAGTGAAATAATAAACAGCGGTCGGTAGTTATTCATCCGTCTGCCACCAACCGTAAACGCTGTAAACACATCGTATGGCTCGTGTCATCGTGTGACACAGGCAGCTAATGACTTTGGGTGGCGACTTGTCGCAACAACTTGTCAATGATTGGATGCAGACCGTGGCCTTATATGGCTGCGTGAAACAGGCGAGCTGTGGCAGTGCTTCAGTTGGTATGTCAGGGGCAAGCCCAATAGCATCTCCAGACTTCGTCACGAAAATAGACAATGCATAACCGTAGTGAATACAGCCTGTTCATAATTCCACTCGGACGAATCTGTTGCTAATTTTAGCACTTGTTTGTAAAGCTACCCATTTAATAGCAACAAAAAATGGCGCAATGAAATTAGTTAGAGCGTTGCCGACTCCATACCTACACGCAACAAATAGCCCATCAGCTCGCTCCGGCTCTTGTGCCTACTCATGCCCCCAATACCTATGTCTCATGACTTATATTTCACCACGCTGTTTCTGTCTGCCTCATTGACAATGCTACCACCAACGGAACTAAGAGGGAGCTATTAACCCTAACTGGCGCCAAGTTCTGCCGTCCTCCGCTGCCATTGTGACACGACCGGCGTTCGAACGGTGCTCCGTGCAGCCTCTCTAATCCGTCGCACGCGCTGCGTGTCGCGCCCGTCGCTTCCGAACGACTCCCGGGGTGGCCGTACGGGTCACCTACGGGCACCAGGACGTGCCGGCCGGCGGACGACGCTCCGGAACGGGCCGGAACGGGCCGGAACGGCGCCCGGGGACGGGCGATTCTCCGGGCGATGGGCCCTGCTGACCGTGCGGTGGCGGTGAAGAGAAGGAGGGGGGGGGGAGAGGGAGAGAGAGAGAGAGAGAGAGAGGGGGGGGAGAGGAGAGGGCGAGATGGCCATGGGAGAGGAAGGGGTTGTTGATAATGCAAATGTGGGAGGTGAGTGCAAACAGGAGATGACTGGCGAATGAGTAAACAGAATCAGTGAGCATAAGATGGAGGACGGTGGACGAATGGCGTTGGACGGTAAATGGCGAACAGCTTGGACGCCTTCAGACGCCGGTGACATTCCTTGTAGCTATCCTATGCTGCTCTCAAGTATGATAGGAAAGTAAATTTCCGCTAGCGCAACAATCTAATCTTTTTGTTTTACGCACCAACCCAATATTAGTCTTGCATTATCTCAATCCACTCATTATCAACGTCTAGTCGGGCCTCAAATTCAGCGTGCGTGACACTGTAATATGCGACGTCCGCCATCCATTGATATATGAGCCCGCTGTTCACCAGAATAGAACGGGGGTCATCTCGTCCAGCGGCCTCCTGATTCCTGACGTGACCTCCATGCGGGCTCCGGCTGCCGCCGTCTCACCATCCATTTTCATCTGGCGCCGGCCGCGGCGGCTTCTCGCGGCGCCGTATTTCTGGGCCCGGCACATTTCTGGCCCGATATTGCGGTCCGACGCGTCAGAAACGACGACCGACGATTCGCGTCGACTTCGGCAGGAACGTGTCGTCTGTCTCTTCCCCTCTCACTCTGTCTCCCTCTCTCCGGCGATGGTGAGGCCGTCCCCGACCGAGAGACTCCACAGAGCCCAGCAGGGCCGACAAGGGAGCTCGGAAAGCTCCCGGTGCGGCAGCGGTACCAGCGCGCGGCACCGGCCACAGCCAGGGAGAGGCCAGGAGGGCGAGCGAGCGCGCACGTCGATATTCGATCACAGTCGAGCAGGCTATTCTCCGACGGCGAGCCACCGGCGCGACAGAAAGCGACCGTCGAGAGGGACGAGAGGCTGAGTGGCCGCCATCCACCGGCCGACGAATGG